CAGATAATGATTGCTCATAATGGGCTTTCAGATCAATACCTTAGACCAAGTATTGTAAAACAATACATAAATTAATAACGTTGACAGCACAAAACAAAAACTCAGTTATTATTGAAACGCATTGTATACACGAAGATTCGCATAAATTCCAGGGGGATGAAGTATATAGCCTACGAACATTAGTTCTGGTAGAAATCAGCTATTATAAAGATATTGACAGGATAAAATGGTTTGATAATTTATGCTTATCGCTACTTGTAAATTTGACATAAAATTTATGTACTGTTAAATTGAATGCGTGCACCTTATCGGAATGATCGAAACTGCCACAGTAATATTCTAGTATAATATTTCAGGTAAAAAAGTCGAACTTGACTTCTACTATTCCGTACGTAAATATAATATACCATCTGTCTTTAACCCAAAATGAAGCAATGTAGCCATTTATGTTTATTTCGTAATAAAATATTAATGATCGTGCCACAGTGATTAGACAAATGATGCAATGTGAACGACACTTCTAATGATTGCAATAACTGATGATACTTACTTATATTACTTATTAAATTATTAAACATATTATATATATAACAAAATCTGCATATATAAAAAATGGTTAAAAGTCACCTAGGAATAATGGCTGTGGTTGATATGTCGTAATTAAAACAATTAAAATATTATTTTAGAAAGATTTGAAATTCGTAATATATTATAAACTCCACGTGCAATTTACAATTAGAGTTGATTTAACAATACGTTTTCTATAGAGAGGAATTAGAGCTCAAACGGTAGTTTCCCTAGCATGAACATAATGCGACAACGTGAAGTAAAACGCCGGTCTCCCCGAGCTAAATAGACACCGGAAGTACGTCCAGGGGCATGGTGACCCATGACTTTGCATGAGGAACAAGATCCCGTCCGAGGCCCCCACCCCACCCCCCAAAAAAACAATATGTATATGTGTTTGCGGGGAGGAGGTGGGGTGATAGTCCCTCCCTGTGCCACTGGGTAATATTGGGCTGTGTGGAAGATGCTAGAGTCGATTTGTAGCATATCTGACCCACGGTATATTTTTGACACTGGTTGAATATTATGATTATCATTATAATGTTAAAAACCGCATGGAAACCGCGTGATTTTTTGTCATTTGCGAGGGGGTGCAAAAACTCAAGGCGGTGCAAAAACTCAAAACCATGACGCAAAGCTCGCCACTGCGCCCCTCTCACTTAGCCCTTGGGTACGTCATACGTAATGATCCTATATGGTAGTTTACACACGCAGGTGGGTGCAGCGTTCAGACAGACTATATACGAAACCACCTTACTTGCAGTCACGGTTGGACTATTTGGGGTTATAGCTAAATACGCTGTACATTTCCATAAACTGTAATGGAATCTGTATATGGCTGAAGCTGACAATTTTCAGACGACCTGTACCGACGGCGAAGATCGAAGATTAGTCAGATTAGAAAAAAAACCTGTTCAAAGACAGTCGGGTTTAGAAATTTTAACTCGTTTATTTTGCGCCCCTCCCCTTCCCTATCTTTCAGCTTAACGATTGTCGAGTCTGTGTAAGATTGGACATAATACAACAGGATGAATTAAGAGTAACCCACTTAAATCGGTGCACTTTATGCCGATTATCATCATGTGTTGGTAATTTTGCCAATTGTTTTCGTAATGAAATGCCACTTTTCCTGTCGAAATTATTAATAATATTTTACGCATTAAGCATGTCAACAATATGTTCTAGGTGCAGTACAATCTTCTCTCGACATGAATCCATCTTCAACGTAATTTGTATACATCAATGGCAATGTTTGAAACGATGAAATAAGAAATATTAACGATGAGGCTATCAACAGGAGGGCACACTTTAGTACGAATCTTTAGAATTCAATATCAAATACGTACAGGTGGCTACATATTTACACAGTCTAAAACTAATATACAGAGCTGAGATTTGTAATGTAATGTTGCGCACCTTTAATCAAACGCACTTGATTCAACCATCCACAAAAATAGAGTAATACGTTTAGATGGATAGGGCTATCGGTAAATAAATAGTCTCTTAATTTGTTTTAATTACTGGTACCTCACGGCTATGTATATGATCACGTGATTTTTGTGGCACGTGCTAGTATTTGCTATTGGTGTTTGGCATGGTTGCTGCAGGTGATAGAAATTATCAGGCGTCTGTTACCGATTGTTGATAATTACTGTCATGTTCAGTGCCCTGTAGAATGGTAATAAGCATTTTAGCCCTGTATTTAAAGACCAATACAATAAACACTATCAGCTTCCACTACAAAATCCACAAGCTAATTATTCATAGGGGAATGTATCAATATCGCATTTCTTTACCCCTTTTATTCCGACAAATCGACGTTAATTGTTGATCGCTACTTGAGTAAATGATATATATTGTTAAATCATTTGGTCTCTTAAAGACATTAATTAACTCTAGGAACCACTTAGATAAGGAGCCGTTAAGATAAGAATGACATGCATTAGATGATACAATAACAAATCTAAATCTATAGATTATAGAAGAAAAGTCAATATCGCTGTTGAAAAGAACTATTTAATCACTTAATGGAGCTAAATATTTAACGACATATTCAGATATACCGTAACTGAACTGAAATCGATGAAACTTAAAAGATACAATTGAATTCTTTAAGAAGTGATAGAGAAATAGGGTTTGACGTCCACTCGACTTTTACAAGTTCGTTTCGTGGTTAAGACATGGTGTAATTTTATTTCAATAATTGGGGAACCGGGGTACACGGAGAAACCCCTAGGGGTTAGGCATACGACCTTACTCTTTGGCACCTATAAATCTATGATCGAACCCACTTGGTCAACCAACTTACCAAATCCTTTAAGGAGGGCGAACGATGAAAGGAGACGAATTATCATATAATACAAATATCGTCCATACAGCCACGTTTTGATCTATTCTTTCTTTGAATTCGAACTAACAATGGATTTATTATAGACATTACCAATCCGGTTCATTCCTTGTGACATCTTTCCTTCTTTGGAAGCAGCGGGGACGTGTATACCCTTGAAATTTGACATGAAAAACAACCGATAATAAATCGTCAAAGAGTTTAGGTCTTCGATCCAGATAAACGCTGGAGATATCTTTCCTTCTTTGGAAGCAGCGGGGACGTGTATACCCTTGAAATTTGACATGAAAAACAACCGATAATAAATCGTCAAAGTAATCTCTTCGATCCAGATAAACGCTGGAGATATTTGGTTGTCTACATATTATTGTAAGTTACCATAATGTAGGCAATCCTATCTTTAGGATTTGTGTTCCATTAGGATAAGAAAATGACTTGTTTGGGGGACATTACCAAGCCAAACCAGGCGCTAACTTGGCTAAAAATATAAAAAAATAAAAAGATATCTCTTGAATAACCATCACCTATAGTACTCTAATCAAAGAAAATTTGAAGTTTAAATAGTGTATGAGAACTACGCCACGCATAACCAGACAAGCGCACACTGGAAATATATAGAAATTCTTTCGTAAGAGATAGTTATGCCCCGAATGTTTATCAAATTGTCTTCTTCAACTAGCACAATTATGGAAAGGTGTGTCATGCTATCAAAGTATCAATCGTTACGTAACAAAAGATTCCATGTCAATCAAACTGAAATATGTACCGAATGAACACTAAATCTACATATTTAAAATGTATGGGTTAACTGATCTCTACCCAGGAAGTCGTCTAGAAACAATTTTATTAACATATCTACGATGATTAGTAAATGTTTTACTTCAAAGTATCTGGAATACTAATTAACTTTAAGGATGATAGCATTCCCATACACGACTCAAGTAATTGTTCATTATCATTGAAATAAATAGTATATAAAATAACGAGTTTCCACTCATAATTTATATTAGGTGTTATATATCAGACAACTTGAAATAGCCCAGATTTTATTTGTTTCGACTCATCAATAATATGGGTTGCCTATCAACTTCATTTTATCGACTCTATGTTTGATTAAAAATCAGTATGTCACGAAATCCCACTTCGAATTGTATATTTTGCTTGCATCCACTAAACCCAACATAAATGTCTAGTCTCGATATTTGGTTTAGAGGAAATTTAGCTGAGCTGTATAATAGTGGAAGTAGCAAAACAGTAAGACGTTAAGCCCTATTTTATTTCATTTCATTTCATTCAATTTCATAATAGCTGAAGTAACCTAAATTAGTAATAAAAGATTGTAACCTATTTTTATTTCCAACACAAGTGAGAAGCGGTATCAAGAAAAACTGCTTAATTGGAACCTGGCTTCAAAATTGTTTTGCGGTACCATAGTAAATCTCTCATCGACTAACAATGATATCTATTTGTCGTATGGTGAGGTAAGTGTTCAACGGTTACCTGTATATTTCTGTACAGCTATCATAGATTTCACATCTTCGGATGTGAGAAAAACATCTTCATACATGAATATGTAAATTCCAACGCACGTCCAAAGATGTTTTTTCGACGATTTGCCGGCGATTTTATCCATCGTGAGCTAAAATATAAGTATTTAACCTTACAGGTTTATGGCCATTGGCGATGTATCTTCAACACTCTTGTCGACAGATTATCGCCAAACAACTATCGAAGTTGGTGAAACTATTTCACATTGCACGTTTTAATATGGCTAACGTTTTCGAGAGGCAACACGGTTTATAATTGAAAAAGATCAAAATCATAATAAGACAAACTTTTACACAACCAATGTCAATATTAGCGAGACGTCGGAGATGAGAAACGTGCAGGATCTTGTACCACCGTGTCTATCGGTGAAGAATAATCCCAGGAGTGTGTTTGCCGCAATATAAGAAGAATCAGCTTACTGTTTGCATGCATTATTACTTAAATTTTCTGATATAAAATTCATAAATCGTTTGTTTCTTAATAAATTTACCTGAATCAAATAGTTAATTGAATCGTTTTATTAAAGGACATCACTTACCGCAAAAGATGAACTCATTATAAACTTTTTCTCAGAATAGTTTCACATATTATAATCCCCTTTTTACACTTACACCAAAAGAAAAATCTTTTGTTTCCTCTAGTGAACATAGGATGCAGGATATGAAATTTGATACATTAGAAAGCAAGTGTACGTTCTATAATGTTTTCTGTGTAAACAGGTTTCCAGCTATGCCTATTGAAACTGTGATTAACTTCTATTAAAGCAATCAAACAATTCCCATCAATACTGGAATCCATCGATACTGGTACGATACGCAATACTGAAGGAGTGCGCCAATGGAATAACAAAGTTAGAACATTAACTATGACGTTATTAATATTGATCATTTATAAAAACAAAATGATTAATTTCTGTTTACTTTTTTGTACAATCGACGATTGTTGCGAGAGAACAAAGAACAAATCTCAATGAAAGTGATTTGATTGAAAACCTCCCCGTTTACCATTTCTACTAGACATTACTTAAACTTTGTTTCCAATACTCAATGAATTCAATATTAATAGAGAAATACCGATATTCTATTGGGACTAAAGCTCATTTATTGAATTCGCGTTCAGAATACTTGACTATAAATACATGTTTAACTTGTTATCATGTTTTATCTATACACAGGATCGTTTTTATAAATTTGATAAGTTCAAATCTTTTAAAATAAAAATAGAATATTTGTTATTATGGTATGAGAATGTATCAGGTGTGGGGCCCAATACTACTTTTGCACGCGAACGTCAATCGGACTGTGGCGCCTTCGTAGTAGATTTCCATCGATTGTGGTCGAAAGCTACTGAAAATATCCACTTAGTTTTCGTTCATACTAATTTTCTCGGGTTTTTTTTGTGCAAAATTGCAAACGTGCAGCATAAAAAATTCCTCTGAAAATTGAATTTTTGCTCGATCTGTCTGTCCAGTCAAAACCCGCGGTTATATAATAATATAAGGTTACCGTAGATCATGAATTATATTTTATAGACGTAATAGTAATCCAATTCGTCAAATGTTTGGCTAAATTATGTAGATGTTCTGGAATGGCTAAGTACATTAAGTTCAGTTGACGTATTAGAATTTTCATCATTGTCTATTCATCTATCTTAATGTTATTTGTAACAACCACGCTATTTTCTCTTTATGCAATGTGTACTGTGCAATGTATTTCGTGCAATATGATTTTGTGTTTATATTTGCTTACCCCATATATCTAGGAAAATACAAATCAGACACGTGTATAAATTGAACATACCATTGTTAGGTACTCAGGGGGATTATGCAATTCTATATTCTAAAAGCTATAGTGTTCTTTTCTATTGAAAAATCGGCTACGTTTTAAATATACCTAACGCTTTTTAAAATAATATAGTTAATATATGTACTTTACGTCACGAGCCGATGAAGTTGGCCAATTATGATAAAAGTTTTAAGAGGAAAACTATTTAAATTTTAAAAAGAAATAAGCTTACCTTTCTGAAGATCATAATTGAAAAAATTGAATCCTTTTTTTCTATTCTTATAACAAAACAAATCGATGATTTTACGCCAATAACATAATTTCTGTTGTTATCTTATAAACTGAGACAATTTACAAGATTTTAAATAGTTTATCGTATTCTTCATCATAATTTATTATCCTTTTACATTATAGACGTTAGTATATGTTACTGTATTAAGAATTGAAATGAATTGTAAGGTGGGTAATGTTTCTTTCAATAGGTATGTATAAAGGGCGGTAACTAATCGGTATTGGATACGGCTTAACAAATTAAGCATTAAACACACAGAAGCCTTGAGCATTAGTAACACGTCTAACCATTGGTTATTATTAAGGCGCCTGATGATATTATTACTTGCTGTTTGTTTTCCTTCGTCTGAAGAAAATCAGCAGGCTCCTTTGATATGACTCCTATAATACCTTTATTCTTCAACTTCTAACAAATTAAAATCTTTCAAGCATAAAAATATAATATCATAAGTATTTAAAGATACTCCACTTCTTACTGTCGCTTTCAAACTTCAGACGTTAAATGTTATTTCAGAAACCTCTCTCTGTCGAAGTTTAAAGTACCGGTACCATATAACAGTTTACCAAGATTGTTTATCAGGATTGACGTTTATTTGCACAAAATCATTAAATCCCGAAACACTTTTAGTAGTATACCTGGAAAACTGTTAAAGATGCATTATGTAGGACTCAAATAAAGACCTGACCGTTCATGCCATTTAATGAAAAATGAATGTATTGAAAATTTCAGTCAAATTACTTTATTCTTAGAGAAGTTATGAATGTTTCAAGTTTTGACGACGATTGTGTCCGACGATTACCAAGGACCATAGTCACGATAATAAACGAATTCCCAATTTACACTCGGTCGTCACCGTGAGTACCACCTTATTGTTAAACGTACATTTAGCGGGGGTCTAATCCACACAATATCTTTGCCATTCGAAGTTCCAGAGTTTTGATCATGGGTTTGGCATGTGAATAAATGTTTATATAATAATTTGTATAACATTTGAAGCCCGTAAAAAGATCTGCAATAGACATATTTAAATCTTGGAGTACCTCTTTAACTGTAGGGCTAGCGTACTTAAAAGCCAAGTTCAGATCATTATACTAACTTAATTTGTTGTGATACACAGGGACTTTTACGAGCTTCTTTATGTGGCTGACCATCAATTGTAAATAGTATCATGCGCTCCAGAAATCACTCATCATACAATGTTATTGGTCGAATTTTCCTCTAACTTTATAGTCAGAATTTAATATATCACGATCTTTGCTGGTTGATTTCAGTTTCTGCTTTAGGCAATTATCTTTAACCGAATTATATTTTTTACTTATATCTGGATTTTTGGTTTTGTAAACAAAATTAAAAGCTATTTTGATTTTGACACCCAAGAAGAATTTAAGAAATTTTCGAATCGAGGGGGTGTTTTAGAATATTCTATTAGTAAAACTTTCTATATATTATTTTTCATGTAAACAAAAATACCACTTCAAAGTTAATTTATTTTCTTTCAAATCATTTTCGGAGTTCACCAAAATCGCAGATAGGGGATGACTTCTCCTTGCCACATGCCAAATATATTTCATAGCTCAAGAAAGAATAATTAATAAACGTTTGAAAAGGAATATGATATAATATAACTGAAAGATCATGTCTACCTATTCAATGAACTAATGAAACAATTTACTCAAATGACAAAAAATACTCAAAGTGGTAAGCTTTTGGGATCGTGTCACAGTTACAAGCAGTTTCGATGCACCAACAGAAAGACAATCGGTTAATAACATTGCCGATGAGTGTAAATACACTGATTCTTAATCTAAAACTACTATAACTAAAACATTGTTCGCCTTTTCATCATTTCGTCTAAATATAACCGAACTTTTAAGTATTTTAACGATACAAAATGACATTTGTTTCGTTCATAAATTCAAGCTATACCTTGTATTTAATCGATTGCTTAATTCAATGAATATTTTTATCTTGTCGTGATCAGTCCTTATTACAGTTACTTCCTTCTGATTGTACTACACACAAAAAGACTTGTATTGTCATAGTCCAAAGAGATGCAAGGTTTGATAACGGTGACTAAGTTACATTAGATTATTAAGTTGCTATATTAGGATTTCGCGATATATTGTATCATCAATGCAATCGGACAACAATTGTCTGGGCGTGTTTTACAAACATTGATGGAATACCCTAATTTACCAATTATTAAGCAATCGACTTAAGTAGATATACCGACACATAAGTATAGTTAGAACCAATGCCAAAACACTTCATATATATCTAAACATTGCGATAACACTCCAGTCTACAGACCATTCATCAAAGCCATCTATTAGCGAAACCAATCGAGCGAAATAAATAGTGGTGCCACCATTGGAACAAAGCGCGTTTTGTATTCCAGGAACCAATATTATACACGTTTATCTTTGCTGAATATGTTTTAGATAACCAATGACCCATGCACGTTATTTCTAATGTATTAACACATGAGCGACTGATTATAAAATATATGCTTACTAACCAATAACTGACGTGGACGTTAATTAACTATAACAGAGACATCTATAATTGAATTGCTGTGTACAGAGTGTTTACTGTTTGAACATAACAAACTTTTTTATATTGACTTTTACCAAGCATATAATAAACTACCTATTCCAATAAAAAATACTACACCTGAATGCAATTATAATACCAAGAACTAACTATAATATAAACAATTGGTAGAGATACTGGAAATAAAGAGTTTGGTTTTTATTACTTTTATTGGTACTGATTCGCTTTTCCGGATGAACTGGTATTCCACTTGGTTTATAATTAAAAAGGTCTTTGAGCCTCGTCTATGATAATACCAAAACAATATATATATATATATATATGATAAATTAAACCCTAAAAATACACCGAGCTGACTTTCACGAAACAGCTTTAAACATGTTAGATATGATGTCAACAGACCTAATATGCTACATTAAACATATAGTAGCATGGTTAACATCAAAGAATATGTTATAATTTGTGATGTAGTGTCTGCACACTATTTGAAAAATACAAATTACGGATGGGGTTTAAAACAGTGAGCTCGAAATTGAAATACTTTCTATATTTCAGCTATTGAATTTATGAAAGAAACACATCTTTCAAACATTAATTGTCAATGCTGTCACCTTTGATCTGGTTATTGTGGTTTCTGAATTCCAAGTACAAATAGTTGTTACTCCATATCGATTCAAAATTTACTAATTAAAATCTTATTTTCGCTAAACTTGAAGATTTTAATGACTTAACACGCCCGTGTTTATTTTCAACTAATACGTTGTATTTACTAGCAGTCTTAGTAAATATATATTGTACATGTTACATGCATGCGATTATATATATTTAGGAACATTGTAAACATAGGTAACACAAAGAAGCTCGAAAGTTGCAATAAGAATTCGAGGTACTCTGACCACCTGGTTATCTTTTAAATACAAAAGTACAGGGATAATTTGAGTATGTTTACATACGTCTAGAACAATCTGCTCTAGCTGCTTCCAACAAAAACACTCTGTATGTTTCGAAAATAAATGACAGGTGCCATGATCCCTTTTT